CCCATCCTACATTTGAGATTTGAAACTTTGTATGAAATCTAGAAGCATGTTTTCATGTCATGCAGTGCTGTCCCTGTCTCTCTGGCTCACTCTCTGGCTCTGCCTACCTCTCTCTGTCCTTGGACCCAAAATTTTTATACCCAATGTCTCCTTAAAGTGCTTGTCTAAATGTACCTTCAATGCACAAGCACTGAAAACTGAAGAATTTTTTAGCTTCGGCAGTACTCAGATTTGTACCGCTGCCTCCGCCACACACCTGCAAACATGCTTTTCCCACCCTTCTCGTGCATGGCGCCGCTGTAGGCTGCCTCTTACAATTGGCCTGCACAGACTGTTGAGCGCTCTGTAATTCGGCAAGAGCTGAAGGTAAGCTGTCCTGCTCACATTTCCATCATTATAACCGAACAGCCAAATACACAAACAACAAAATGAGAAATCAGGAACATTTTGGTGCCACTCTGTTCAATGGAAAAAGGAACTGCATATTCTTCCAGAGAGGTGGGAGGAGAAGGAATAAAATCCCTCTCTGTATTGATTTCTGGACCGCAGAACTCAGAACCTATTTGGTGGTGTAGGCAGGCATCTGCTTTGGGACAAATGCAGAAACAGGCAGACGATGTTCCTGGATTCATGAAGAGCGTGGCTGGAGTGTGCATGCTCCCCGACCGCAGCTGAGAAGAGCCCCGGCATGATGGCCTGTGCGACTGCTCAGCTAACCAAGTCCTTCTGGACTTGGAAGGTCCGGGAAAATCTTACTTTTTGTAAAAACTGGTGTCACAAGCGGGCAGGAATTGCGAACAGGCCAAGGAAAGGAGCTCGTTCTTTATTCACACACTCCATCCTTCGTTGCTAACAGTAGCATCAGCACCAGTGTTAATCAGGAAGCTATTCTAGTGTCAGAAAATGTCTGAGTAATCTGGGAAAAACAATGTAGTTGTCTGCAGCAGTTCAACAGGCAGGCAGGTATTTCTGAAAAAGTACAATCATTTTTAGTTGACCAGACCGCCTCTTTTGCCAGACCTTAAGCCTAATCTTCTGTGAGGATTTCCCCACTATTGTTTCACGGGATCATTGTGTGTTCTGCTCCGTAGTGCAAGCTGGCCTCCGTGCAGGAGGTACTGCAGCATGTAACATTGCTGCTGCAGTGAGTTAAACGTGCAGTAAGGCTGGATTCACCTGCTTAATGCAGAGTTAGCTTTGGACAGCGCAGTCGTCTGGACATCACCCAACAAACTTGTCAGTTATTTCTCCAGCAACCCAAACTTCCCTGAACGATGCCCTCAACATCCGAGAGGCCGAGAGGAAGGCCTTTCAAATGCTTCCTCTGCCATCTGGGTCGAGGATGGCAGATGGGCATGTGCTGGAGCAGGAAATCCACTCCAGCGATCTCAGCACGTGGAAGTGCTCATCCCTTACGGAAACCCGCTTTGCTGCCTGTAGCCTGGACCTTGGAGCAAGGAGAAAAGCATACCTGTGTCTCCCACCCGCTGCATGCTCTGTGGCACTAGTGACTCCAGATTTGAGTAGTGACAGCCTCTCTGTGGTGGGAAGCAATCGATCATTAGAATTTTTGTTTAGCTACTTCATATAATGCTGCCAGGTTTTCTGAGCAAATACTTGAACGTGGTAGCAGATGGACTCCACCATCATTCATGGCTAATGAAGGGAAGACGTGTGTTTGATTACCAGGTAAGTTTGTGTATGTGTTGCGTGTGAGCCTATCTATCTCATTTAAAGCCCATCTAACGGTCAAGCAAAAATGTGGCTGTGATGTGCTTTGTTCCTGCACGTCGCAGGACTCACGCGTGGTTCCTGGAGCTCCTCGCGTGGCACGCACGTCAGTCGTTACCCCAGCCTCGGCCTTCCTCAGCTCACAGGCCAAATGCTCAAGGCTCTAGAGACCAGAGCCACTTGCCCAACAGTGTGAGGCCCCGAGAAAGCTGCATGATCAATAGTAGAGAGGCTTAGCCGGGACAGAGCGATATGGTCACGTGGAACAGCTGCTCGCCCTCCTGCTGCCGGTGTTTTCCTGAGAGCATCCTGCCTGTGCTTGTCGGTCTTCCATTTTTTTCCTGAAGCAAACTGGTGCAGGTCTCCCTTCAACCCTTTCAATCCTGAATCTGCAGAGGGTAGTCTCACCTGCCATCATAAGATTTCTTAGGATGTTTTCCTTTCTTTTCCCGTACTGTGCTGACCTCACTGGTGGATCAGCGCTTAAAACCTACGGCAGCCTGCTCCCACCTTTGTCTTTCAGTGAAGTCATTTTTGGTGGCTGTTATGACTAGGAGAGAGAGGTAGGTCCTTATTGGAAGTGCTTGTCTACTTCACTTCCTAAAAGCTTTTCTGTAAGTTCAGATCTAAGTTTTTGGCCTAACGTTGCATTCATATTTCAGCCAAGAATGTCAAGAACCGAGCCCGCCTATGCTCTTTCCTACATCAACTGTTTTCAGGGATGAGCGTTCCTCGCACCTCCCGGATGTCAGGCAAGTGTTAGGATTTGTTGTTGTCATTCTTACCTTATCCAGAAGAGACCCTTTCAGAAGCTTAATTTCTTCAAATCTGTACCGTGGTTGTCCCCAAGCATTCCTGAGGTTTACAAGCGTAGTGCTCTGCTGGCACTGGAAGCGTAACGTGTATGGTTACTGCTGCCGGAGGGCACATGCAGTGTGACGGTGCATACTGATAAACACTTGACAGGTAAAGAATGGTTATTTACCGGCAACTGGAGCTCACTGATACATTACTCATGACACATCTTTCTACCTATTTATTTCCCTCAACATCCCTGGAGATTAATGGAGTAATTTAGAATAGCAACAGTGAGAGAAATTGGGGAACACAGGCTGCACCTCATCTATTTATTTCCACAGCACTCGGGGCATGTGTCAACAAATACAGCTGAAACAGAAATGTCCTCCAGAGCCTGGATGCGTGCAGGCCTGCAATGGATGAACCAAGTTCCTCTGATGCCTGGAGTGCTGAATAAGACCACTTTCTCTCACTTCTGCAATTTGAGGATCACCAAAATCCCCTAGGAAAGGTTTCCAGGATCATGTTCTCTTAGGAACAAAATTTTTAAAAGGTCTCATCATGCCTCTAGAACATTACCTAGGCATCTATCTGCATCTTTTGAACACCTTCACAATCTTAACAAAAAAAAAAAAATCACAAAATGTAACAGCATAGATTTGCAACTATGTCTGAAACACAGTCAGCAGCAGCACTTTGGAGGCTGTGGGCAGCAGCAGGTATATAGCCTGGCTGAAGACAGTCATAGCATACCTATTGGTAATTGAAAACGATGGTTCCCATTAACTCTTTGCTAAGTGAGTGCCATTGCTTCCTCTCATGCCAGGGACTTTTATGCAGTGAAAGTCCAGTCATTATACGACCAGAGCTTTTATGTGTACCTGATAGTTCAATGCTTCACCAGAGTGTTAGGTTTTCTTTATGAGCAATGATTTCTTGCCTAGTTCGCTGCTCACTTAGATTTGAAGAACGTGTAAGAACAAGTGGTCTGGAATATGCTGCTGCTGCCGCCTCTTCCAGGCTGTCTGCTGCCCTCTGGGCTCTTCAGGCCAGGTAGGGAACAGCCCATGGACTGGATAAACAATAGTTACTGGCCAGCTTTCCTCTATACACACATCTCTGTGTGGCTGTTTAAACATACTCGAACAGAAAAAAATCCTCTCTATAACCACCACAATTCATCCCCAAAAGTTTTTTGTGTTGGAAGAAGCCTATGTTCAACACTGACCCACAAGTGTGGGTGATTAATCCTGAGATGCCTATTCCAAGTGACAGTGTTTTCTTGTAGTAATACAGACGTGAGCTTTTTATCGTAGTATTGCCTGACCTTTGCTCAGATCTCTATAGCCACCGAACGTAAGTATTAAATACTCTCTTAAATGCCACACTGAAACGAGTATATGATAGAAACTGAGATTTGATTTTGCTCTGCACACTTCAACAGTAAAAAACAGCAACACATCCTCACTGATGTGCCTTCTCCATGACAGGAGAGAGTCTCTCCACCTTCACTCTCTGTCACGGTTTCCTGCTTAGAAATGCATAGCTGCAACCAGTATCTTTTTGTATTTTTGTTATAGCAGCAGTGTCTATAAACACACAGTTGGTATTGTTAACCAAGATCAAATCAATAGTTAAAAAAAAATAATTTTACACAATCCTATTTTTTCAAAGTATTTCATGAGTCTAGAGATAAAGCTAAGAAATTTCTACTACGTGTTATGATGTCAACTTTAATGTAACCGTTCTGATTAACAAATTCAGACAGCAATTAAATGGTGATCAAATTAGTCTTTATTCATTCATTATATATAACTTCTGTAAGGAGAAACTGCCTGGGAATATGAGAGTTGGGTCTTTTATCCTGCAGTGCCGTGAAACAGAACTAACAGCAAAAAGTGACCGACTCAGCACAGGAATATTGATGCACACAGCAGAGGGAGATAACATTCTAGCAGAAGCCCTTAAAAAGGGTACTGTACTTTTGTTTAACCAAAATTCATATTTAACAACAAATGATATAGTTTTCTACAAAAAGTCTCATGCTGCCACATGCAAACTCCTGTTACTTAAGCACATCCTGTTTGGGCACTTTTAAGTTTTTCCAGCGCCTCAAAATTACTTTGTATTTTTCACTTTCAGTCTTGTCTGATACTTTTTTAAAGACAACACGCATAACTACAGCAGTTCCTGTTTCTTTGTCTTCCCCTACTATAAGGTCCAGCGTGTCACCAATTTTCACCTGGGAACAGAAAGAGAAGATGAACGATCATAAAAGTTCTCTGGGGAAGGCAAATTCCCAAGGTTTAGGTGCAATTTTAACTTTGCTCCTTTCTTTCCGTTTATTATTCTTATCTCACAGGAGAGGAGGAAGGAAGTCTAGTCTTGTTATGGATCTAGTCTATGGATCCACAGATCTATGGAACTAGTCCTGTCATGGATCCTCCAGCTATGATTTTCTAGGAAAGACCAGGCAATAAGCAATAAAATGTCTCAACATGACCCTCTCTGCCAAGGTCTTTACCCTTCCTCTCTAACACCGGATACCTAACTGAAATCAAAGGTATAATGTAGTATGTCTTTTTAATTACAACAGATAGTACGGACTGACGTTTCCTACCAACCTTTCTGTATCAGCACTGGCATAAAACAGCAAAATTCAAAATTCTCCCTCCTTCCTTAAGAACGGTTTAAAATATTTTAAAGAACAGAGCGCTGGTCAACTATTTATGCTCCTTTCAAAGTTCACAAAAGACATCACTATACCTCTCAAAAACTAGCCCTAACTTTAAGGGATCAGGAATTAAAACTTCTCTTCCTGCTGCCATCTGACCACAGTAACTGCCTCCTAGGATCATCCTCGCACAGAGGGTGCGTGGAACTGTGTTTGCCACCCTTCCGGGAAGCTCTGCCGTGAAAGAGTACGATCAGCTGGGTCTGTTACCCACTGCCACGTCTTCTAAATATATTCTTTCCAGCTCCATTACAGATACAATAACCTTTCCTGATCTAGCCCAGTTTCCTTCTCTATCATGAAACATTCTTTTTCTTTTAATCACGTGCCTGCTCCACCAATATCTTTCACAGATGTAATGGTTTCTGCTCCATCAACTGCAACCCATAATTCCTTCAGCAACTAAAACTTCTGTCCTTGCTGCCATCTCCCTTCTCTCCACTTTCAGCCTCAGTTTTTACTCTCTCATACCACACGCTTCCTATCTGTCTTAGGGATACAGTGTGAATTCCCGGGGAATTACTGTCACTCACACACAGAGCAAGACATAGTCTTAGCAATGCTATTCACCTTTGAAGAGCGATTTGGTGGCTAGCTCTTCTGACCCAAGTAAAAGGAACGAGAAGAAGAGGTCATGCCTTAGCTATTTTCTTGCACTGTATTAGAAGTATTAAAATTTTAAAAAGTCTTACAGTTCTACTTTTCTTCCATAGTTTTTCTCCATTCAGCCTGAGTTCATTATTGTAGAATGCATCTTCTACTTTACTGAAGGAAAACAAGGTTTTATTGCATTTACAGCGTGCAGCAAAACAAGTGCAATTGTTTCTTTACAGATACACAAGAACACTGCTCATGTGCAAGACACATTTCCCCAAGTCTGATTTGCGCATAAAGGATACATTTATTTTAGGACAAAAAAGACCTGAACTGGAAGTCAAGTCTTTCACAGGTATTAAATGAAACAACTTACTATAGTCCCTCCCTGCCACAGGTGCAAGCAATAAACAGCTGTTTCTGAAGACTTGTCCCCTAAATATCTAACACATAATGTTGCCTTTCCTGCACCAGTGAGTGTAATTGTTTTTGAGGGATCAAGCTGTACTAATCTTCTGTTACTATGTTGTAATATAAAGCTTCTGTAGGTTGCATTGGATTATACATTGTGATATATTTCTAGAGTGCACATGTACCTGACTGAGCTGGTATGTTAGGTTTATGCTTACTTACAACCATTTAATAGCATATTATTTTATTCCTTCACTCTCAGAGGAGATTTTTTTTGTACTACTTGCTGCAGTATTTTGCGTTTTTTTTTTCATTTTAAATAAATAGTAACTGACAGACAATGTCTCTACAGCAATGTTAGAAATACTGCAGACAGTGATGATAGTTGAAAGACAGGAAACAAGAAGCTTCGAGGAGAAAAGGTGAAACAAACAAAAACACCCCATACGTGTAACTCCCGAACTATTTTTATGTAGTCAAAAAAGCTACCCCCCAAAAACAAGTACGGAGTTATTCCAGCAATAAGAATGGTATCAAACCCAGCTTTTAGCTACATTACATTTTTCTCATCCGCAGGTTAACACGTTTCTTCCATACTTACTTTCTTGCAATGTCTAGACCAGCTTTCATGATTACATCGTATCGAAGAGACTGCACTACTTTTTCAAGATCCTTGTAATCTTTTACTATGTTGGGGTCTTCATCAAATTCATCTTCCAAATCACTTTTCTCTCCCTCTTCATCCTCTTCTTCTTCCTCTTCTTGTAATGTTCGTTTATTCCTTCTAGAGCTTTTGCTACTTTTGCTCCGCAGAGAAAGTACTGAGATATACTCTGGAGAAAGTCTTAATGCACAGAGTTTTACTGGGGAAATGCCGAAATATCTTACGTAGTTTACTGTGCGTGCTTGACAGCTACAGTATATGCTTCTCCTCCAAGAGGGGTACAGCTTATAAGAGGGGCATTTCTCCCACAGTCCAAAACAGACATTTAGTTTTCTAACAGCAGTGATGGGGAGTCTGAAGCCAGTCATAGCATACCCTGAAATAAACAAACATCCAGATGTAAAAAAGAGCAACTGCTTTGAGTATGGGTAGTATTTCTCAAGGTATAGCATAATAGCAACTATAAAAGGGTGATTACCTCCTTCCCCAAATAGCAATAGGTTGTCTATAAGCACAGGGCTATACAGGCATTGTGATGTGCATTTCTCACGCATTGTCCACCCTTACAAGTAGCAAAAACGTCAGATGGAAAACGAAAGTGAGAAACCTAAATGGCATACTTTGTTCATAATTCCTTTTCTGTTGTCTACTACTAACTGCCCAAACATACTTGTGGTATTTTCCTCCCTGCGTTTGAAATACAGTACTCAAAAGGAAGAGAAAGGGCTAACTATTGGAAGCTAACTCTTTCATAAATTGCACAAGGAGACCTACCTTTATTATGACTCATTCTCAATAAAAGCAGCTTGCTCAATACTGCAAGCAAGTAAAACCAGAAAAGTCAAAAGTTTCTGGACTCCAGTCTCTGCTCAGACCAGAAGACCCCTGGACGGCAGAAAGCTGCAAAACATTCCCCCCCGTTTCTCCTAAGAGAGGATTAGCGTCATTGCAGACTTTGGGAGAAATATCCCTGCTCTCTGTCCTGCAACAGGACTGACACCAGCAACAAGTCCCATGCACAGGTTCCTCAGTACTATATTCCTTTTTGAACAGTGGGAGCGCAACATGGGAGAAGCGGCTGGGAACACGTACAAAAAATAGTCATCTTTCAAGCCTCTTAGAAACACAATTTTATTTACAATCCCTCTTAAGCAGGATGAGGACTGACCTTAATTATGGCCCTGTATATGTGAAAACACTTGTTTATTTTGTGAGACAGAAGTTTGTTTTCCCCACACCTAAGTGAACGCCGCTGAAGTCTGAGCAAGGGGTGTGTGTGTGTGTGTGTGTATCTACGGCTGGAAAAAAGCCCTCATCAGTGAGTGCAATAACGGAAACAGAAAAATAATCACAGCCCCCATGGCTTTTCTTTTTTTTTTTTAAACAGATGATCAACTATAGTTTAAAATCTAAGATGGTACAATCCTCACTGAACCCTTATGCCTCTCCTCGTTTTGGGGACAAGTTTCTAAAACAGTTGAGTATGTTAACAATTATTTTTTTTTTTAACTCGTGCTTTGTCTTAATTTGTTCTCTGCTGGTCAGTGGGGTACAACTGGCTGCTGAAATGGCCTCTGTGAGACAGGTCTCAGGTTTCAGTATGCCTGAAAAAGCAAGGCTCGTTTCTGCCAATTATTAAACTTCAGTGTCGAAGAGAGATTTACTCACCACCCGTACGCTTTGGACACAAAGCCGAAAGGCGCTGAATTACAAAGTCTGAAGGCGCATGCAAGGGCACATTACCAAGTAAAAGTGAACTTTACATCAGGGACCTGCAAGTTTTCAGGAAAGCGTACCGCCACCCGCGCGGCGCCCGGTGCAGCATTCACGCCGAGGAAGACAAGGGTACTTCTGTGTTACGGAAAATAAGCTAAACTCGCTCCAAACCAGAAAGGTGAGGGGAAACATAGCGCTTGCTCTGGCCAAAATAACCCAGAGAGCAGACAGAAGCTGCAAGACTCCTTTTATTACTTTCCCTCCGTGCCCTCCCCCGCCCGGAGGCAGGCTCTGCAGCAAGCCTTGCCCACGGGGCTCCGCG